TTAATATAGTAGTGGATATTAGTGTTACCGATGTCTAAATAACTCCCTAAATGTAAGTCATTGCGTACAGCAAACGTAAATTATATATTTCTGTTTGCATTTCAAACTATATATATAATATATACTTACATACTATTATTATAGAGACGTAGGTATCGATATAATATTATATACTTGAGAACGTTGAAAAAAGTTCAAACGGCCAAAATGCAAGCATAATCGGGTGTGACGCAATCAGATGATTTACATTCATGTGTAGCTTCTTTTGTACAACAAAAAACATACCTATCAAATTATTGGATACCATGTAGAATGTAGGTAGATACAATATTATACCTATATAGGGGCCACTCCGGCCGAGCTCGCGCGAGAGGTCTAAGGCGTCGGTTGCGACGCAGCCGGCGCCGGATCGATTTTTTGTTCACGGGCGGCATTTTTCTTCGGGCAAGTCACGGTTTCCGGAGAATAAGTGCCGTCATCCCCCACCCGGGCATGGCAGATACCTAAGGGTGCCCAGAACAAAAATTCTACCAAAACAAACACACACGTGTAACAAATCTCCAGTACCGCAGGCTAATAACCTAGTAGTTGAAGCCTTAACCCTAATAAAAAAAAAATATATATATTATAAAGCTGGTATCTACACGAATAACTAAACAATGTAGTTTTGTATTCATATATAGGACTGACCGACCGAGCTATACGTTTGCCAGATATGGCTATAATCTGTTTTTTTTAAAAACCAGCAATTTTCTATAAGTTATAACCTACAAATATATAATTAGTTGCTACTATGTAATTATTGCACAGTGTCTAAAACGCACAAGACTTACACCAAGTGGTTTTTATATACTTAAAGTGTTAAAATCACGGGCGCGTATAGCATGGTATTGTCGTATAGTTTTCCCGTTTGTATAATAATATATAAAACGTGATTACAACACAGTAGGTCATTGACTATGTACCTAATACGGCAGTGCAGCAGTTAATAAAGAAATACGATATAATTTACGAATACTGTTTTACGTTATCGCTGTACACGAAACTATACTAAAGAAAACTTTTATTGCGTTATTACTTATAACTGTGTGTGTGTGTGTTCAATACGGGCTTGTCATTAAAAAAATAATATTTTTAAGTTGATTATAACACATTGAAACATCACGAACGTTATGGGTACATTTATTACGCTTAAAATATAGTCTGTGCGTTATCCCTCTGTTAAAAAAAATGCGTTTTATATCCTGGCAAGGTGCTTTGCCGTGTTCGATATATACATGAGTAATAATATATTATATTATCACATGCGTTTTTTAATAGCTTGTCGTAGCTTGAAGACAGCAACGTTCATTTAATTAAATACCTGTAAAATTAACATGTTTATTCCTTTGACAAAATTTTACTACCTACCTACCTACCTAGTACCTACTTATGTTTTCTCTAAAAAATATTATGCCGTTCTGGTTTGACATGTTAGTGCCAACGTTGTCATTTATTGTTTAAAATTACAATTAGCTGAATTCGTTCTTACCTATCAAAATTAATTTTACAAAATCAGTAGGTCTATAATATTGTGCTTATAAAGAACCTATATAAAAATTAGAGACATTTTTTTCAAAATGCCCACTAATAGATCTTAATTTTTTTATTTTATTATTTTATAATACAATTCTATATACGCCTTTGTGAATTTATTATTTTTGCATAGAATTATAAAATTTATTGATGTATTACTTTGAACTAAAAATTGTTTACTAAAGATGTTTTTAGTAATTTTCTTTTATATTTTTAGATACACATAAAACTGATTTTGTTTTTTTTTTTGGTTGTAAATTAAAAAGGAATAGACGTTGTCAACAAATATTATGTTATAAGCATTCTTTTTTAGACAAAGTATAATATCTAATTGAAAAAAAAATAAATTATTTTGGCTCTCATTGAGCTATTTATACCACAAACTTATATTATTTCTATAATTTTCTATGGACTATGGAACATCGGTATTGACTTATAAGTTAATAAAAATAATATATTATAATAATTAATAATACATGTTATGGCCGATGTTTTTGGCAAAACATATTTCAACCTTCGTATAACTAAATAACTAATACAAAAATAAATTTTAAATACCTATATATTAGTATAAACATATTATAAAATATCCTCAGAAATAGAGACTGACAAAGTATTTTTGCATACCTAATATTTATTTATTATCGAATTCAAATTGAATACATCCTCTAATTTCTAAAGTTACATACCCAATGACTCGAAACATTTACTGAACCTAACGAGTTCCTCTTTTTTATTTTTTAAAAATTTAAAGTTTAGTGGTATTTCATCATAATAACATCCTATTATAGTGGTCCGGAATTAATGCTGACAGACGACAGTATAGCGTTGACGGCATACACTTTCAAACACATTTTTAATCGACCTTCCAGCCTAAAAATGTTTTACTACATTATGAAGAAAATTATAATTTATATACGTTCATAATTATATATTTAGATGTAACATGTAATATTTATAGTTCGTCGCAAAAACTTCAGTGTTATTTGCCCCTCTTAAAAAGCATGTTCCACTACCTATACTAAAATGTTCGTCCTAAATAACATTATCATATAATATTATGATTTATCTATACCATTTTTTTCAATATTATTATCTCAAGCACCTATTATTATATGTTTATATGCTGAAATCATAATATTCTAATCACACATCAAAATGAATCATAATAGTTTTAGATGTAGTAAACCGTAAAACCCGTATTCGCATTACTCATCAGATATTTGTTAATCGTCACTTTCTTTCGTTGTAAACACCCGAGGTAAATGATTTCTCTGTAATTCACACTATACTACAATATCAACTAATGTAATTAGTAATTTATGTACAGGTGGTTGCTACTTACAAAATTAGTTGAAGTTTAAAAAAAAAATACATCATAAAATATGTCAGGTATGAATTAATTTGTATTCATATACATTTTTATTTTAAATACTTAATATTATATAATAATAAATTAAGGTGTACTTACAAATTTAAAACGGTGGCGTAGAACTTACACAAACCCACTCCATAATGGCATTTATTGTCGGGGACACACTTGTGTACAGAGCATAAATCTGCTGTTTTTTTCTTAAATTTTAATTGATTTTATATTTTGTAACCTACGACTTCGCAAGGTAAAATTTATTACATTTTCGATGAAATTTACTCGCCTGCTATGCACATATGAATCCAACATTCAGCAACCGCAAAATGATATAATTGTAATTTATAACGTGGCCTTTTGTAGTTTTCTCCTACCATATTGTACAAGGTGATGTAAAGAAAGATTAACTGCTGGTGGGCGAGTGCCGAGTAGGTATCACTGTATCAGCTAGCTGTTGTGAAAATATGAGTTTTGATGTAAAATGTAGTTTGCACCGTCTACGACTACGAATAATAAATATACCTAATATAGGTTAAGTATGAATTTAAAGTTCATTATAGTGTCTATACCTATACCTTTTTAGGCATAATATATATTATTACGTTACTCATATATTATTATATTAAACGTTGAATTATTCGGTAAAATGAATAATACCTAAATTATTTATTTATTTTTTGAACAGACCGCTTCCGGTGAACCTACAATAATAATGTCGGAGTCGTACTTTCCGACATTCCCTAAACCTATATCATATGTATAGGTACTATTATTGAGTATTATATAGGTACAGTTTTGGTAATCGTAAAGTCCAAATTCTAAAGAATTAATAGGTTATTTAACCTAACAATTTTTTGAAACTTTTCTTCTTATTTTATCAAAAACCCATAATATGTAGTTTTTTGGAAAAAATAAACTTCTATAATGGTTGCACACTGCGGTATTGTTTGTAATACCAATATTGTAACACTGCATTTAATGTGATATTCAGGTACTATACGGTTTTATAAGTTCGTAACATAATCGATATATTTATACATATATATACGTATACCAGCGACCTGCCTAATACTGCGCTGCCGCTACTAAAACGAATTCACCACGGCTCTATATAGATAGGCACCTTACGGCTTACGACGCGTCACCTATGAGCGTATTCGCAAATGATTTTTATAATTTATATACGAACGTACATGACATAAATATGAGTTATAAGTTATAACAATATATAATATGCATTTAGAACAATAACAATGCGATATCAGTCTGCAGCGAAACTGCGATCGCGGGGGAGTGCGATTGTAATATACATAATATACGACAGGTATACATATTATATTAAATTATATTATATACAATTATATAAGAAATAGGTGCGACGCTGACGTGTAGTGTCACAAAATAAATTAGTCTTCAATAATAACACAACATTATAATGTGACGCAAACACTGCGTGATGACAACGGACATCCGAATTAATTTAATCCATAAACGTGAGTCATAATTTAATGTTGTACCTAATAATAATTTGCAATATATATTATATCAGTTATGTAATACCTATCTATGGTGTTTCTACAGCGAAAGTCACAACAAATGTTTTTGTCACCTGGTTGGAGCTTTTTTTTTATATCAAAATCATTGGGTATTTAATTTGTATTATTGCCTAAAAAAGATTTAAATTTAAAAGAAATATGGAATAATATTCCATTATAGAATATTCCGTTTATTCACTGTGACTTCCACGTAGGAATTGTCATATTATGTGTATTCAGTGCTTTACTTGTACAATTTTTCAGAGAATAGGTCATGACACAAACAATTGTGCGCTCCTAGCTACTATAAATGGGGAACTTCGACCAAGTATAAAATATCCAAACATAACATGAATACATTATAATAGTACAGGTAAAACAAACGAGGGAAAAAACTGTGGAAGAAGCTTGCTGTATATTAGGTTTCAACTTTCAAGTGTATCAAGGTATCTACTTATTAATCAGCAGGTCGACCATGATTCTGTCCATCTACTCGGCACAGTTGCTGATCAGCCATGTAGATGTCTCTAGAACTATTTGTGGGCAGGTCTGGGAGTGGCCCCTGCGTACTCTGTCGGTATACAGAAGATACTGCCGAGCACACCACCACCGCTTACAAGCTGTGCATTAAGGGAAGTGTATGCACGGAAAGGCTCCTATTGGAAGACCCTTCCAAATCGTGGACCTTCCAGGGATGTTGTGGGGGCCTAGAAAGGATAACCAATAAAGGACTGATGTTTTTCCCGGACGGAATTACAGTTAGGAGAATTATACAGTATGATTTAAAATTTAATGACCGAGATGGAAGATCCGGAGGTGGAGTGATAGATGCTGCAGCACCATTCTTTAGGTATGAACCTCCAAACCTCCAAGGTTAAGTTAGGTTACCTCAAAGAGTGGAGGGGTATTGAGCAAGCACGATAAGAGCATGGATGCATTAGACTTTGGTTGGCCCAGGAAGTTTATAGTAGTCTTTTAATTTCGTCGTTGTAAAGTACTTGTCCCATCTTTACTTTATTATATCATATTTAATATTTATATATTATATTTCGGATGTTGGCTCCGACCACCACGTAACATGCATAGTACAATTATCTTGTTATTAATGTACAATATAATTTGCAACCGAAGTGGTGGTAATAGTGGTAATACTATAGTGATTTTCACCTCAGACCTCAGTTGTGATATTACAATAAATAAAAACAATTACAATTTATCACTGATTATATCTGGATGTGTTAAATTTGAACTTAATAATAAACCACTGTATACAAAAAACTATTCTGAGCAGATCCTTGAATTAAAATGTTATATTTGAAGAATATTTCGAATTATTTTTTTAGCATATCAATAATTAATTATTAATTTATCAATTTTGGCGGTAAAATTAAACTTACCTACTAATTTTTGTAATAAACATATTATAATCAACACTGATGTATCCTATGTATTTGTCTGGTATACAAAGCTTAAAATTAGTCTAAATATTTGGAAATTGCATTGCTTACCTATGGAAAACATTAATCAACGTAATGGGAAGAAAAGAATCAAGTAACTATACGATTAATATTTTTAGGTTAGGTTAGGTTTACCTACTTAAAAATGTGAATTTGAATAAATGAATTATTAAAGGGTGAGTATGCTTACTGAATCATTTCGTATATCATACAACCCATTTCCCCATAACACCTTCACGGATACATCGTAAACACAATAAACTATAAACTTACTCTATACTGTAACGTTTCAATTTCATCTATTTGCATTACTCCTGCAGTGTATGTAGATTGTAGGTACTATATATTCATACCTATAATTAATATCATTATCATTTTTGTTTTAACTATGGCAATAATTAAAAATACCGTAAAATACGGCTACAAGTCATATATATTTTAACTGGTATAATACTGTTTAAAACGTTTATGTATTTACCAATGATTATCGCTCAAATAGTGTTTATGTTTAGTGCGTATCACGGACTAAGATATAATGGACTGGAAACGACATGGTCGGCGGGGATCGGGGGACGGCCACGAAAAAATTTCACTTAGCTGATAAGAATACTGTTCTTGAAGTTTTCAGCGCTACCGGTGGTTTTATTTGGCTACACAATTTGTATCTTAGTCCGTGTTAAATACAGAGGGCGCTGTGAACTCCAAGAACAGATAGCGACCCCCCGCACTTTGCCTCTTGTACATACATTCGTGGCCATGATAAGCTGCTCGTTTCCAGTCCATTATATCTTAGTCCGTGGTGCGTATAGTGTCAGTGTGTAGGAAGATAATATCATAATTTATAATAATGGTGTATCATTTATTATTAATAATGCAACACTATACCATATATCGGACGCTATTTATCACAGAAAAAATCGCAAGAACAATCGCCTACACGATAGAATGTCAAAATACATCTGAAAGAGCTTACGAAAAATAAAATAACATTCAACGGACGAGTATTCCTCTATAATATGTAGGTATTATATAATATAGTTCTGTGTGTGTGTGTGTGTGTGTGTGTGTGTGTGTGTGTGTGTGTGTATCATGTATTATAATACGGGCAAACAAGACAGAAACGGCCATAGGACAAAATGTAATAATAAAAACGAGACTATATAATATTACCTACCTATATATTACATTATGATATAATTTACACGTATAATATTATATTGGATAAAAACGCTATATATTTACGAGGGGAACAGATGTTGCAGTTAACGATTAACTTCATTAGCGCGGCGTGTGTGCGTGTGTTTAACGTACACAAAACTAGTTTAATAATGATATATTATTTATCCATTAATAAAATATATTGTATAAGAGAGGCCGCCGAGAGTCGTCCTGCATTATGTATATAATACCAGGTACATTATACCAGATACCTACGTACACATAATATACCGTAGATAGAGCCCGGTAAACCTACCTATATTATCATTTTCTTACCGATTTCAAATCAATTTAAATACTACTTGGTTATACAGTATGCGTGTATTGGTGGTGTCATGATATTATATACAGGGTGATACGCAGTTCTAATATTTTTTTACCGGACTGCAGCGGATCTTTGGTCAAACGTTCCGAGAGATGATTTTGTGCTTACGAAAAATATCGGCTATTTAGACATTTAGTACAAACAGCAATTATATTATTTTGTGGAAAAAATGTACTACGACTATATAGCGTGTTACCTACAAATTTATTGCTGATATCTAAATGTAAATAGTATATTATTTGTCCAATATTAATTGTGATTTACATAACTATACGTTGTGAAGACATTTTTGTTAAGATGTAAGTTATCATTTAAAAGGCTGATGGTATATTAATATAATATTATTTAATATTATTTTCCAAATGTGTCTTAATTTTTTAATTCTGTATTGGTTACTAGTCATTACACTTTTGACGTATTGTCCTTTGGGTTCATTTTCGCATAATCGTTTTGTTGGCATTTTATTAGATGAGTTACTTATATAATTGTGCGGTTGCCTTCATGGTGCCAACTTTTTGTGTTTTAATTGTATATTTAAATTTACTGTATGTGGGTGCATACAGCATGATGGAATTATACATTTATACTCCTCGGTAACCGGAATTTACAAAATATTTTGAAATATATTATTTAAATATAAAATTGTTTAGATAACATTTACTTATACTAAATATTATCTTATACTTATAATATCCCTGAGATGAATACTCAATACTAATTTGTAATAAAGTCACAATACTATATTTATATATTTTATTTTATAAATACATTTATTACAACCACGTTTTTTGGTTGAAAAAAAAACTATTTTTTAAAACTATAGGAACTCTATAGTATCATCTCATGACTTTTAACTGAACTAGTAAATTAATTTTTCTTAGGTAACTATTAGCAATTATAATGTTTTAAGCCAAGTCGAGTTAGTTTTGTTCATAGATCGTTATATTGTCCAGTTTTCATCTTTGCTTTTATATAGTGTTCAAGTGCCTGGAAAAATAATTAAGATTCTCTTTAGGTACCTATCTACTATAACTTGCATAATATTCTTAAATAATAAATATTATATCATATTTACGAAATATTGGGCCAATGAAAATAAATGTACATCCCACAAATTAATATCTTGATATTTTCGGTACCTAATTATTAAATAATAATATACTTAAAAAAGGGCGTTTAAAAGTACTATATGACACTATTATATCTTTTATACCTTTATTATATAATATGTAAACTCGTAACCGATCTCAAATTGGTATTATTTATCTATGCAGTAATAAAAAAGTCATTCTGAGGGACCTGCACTTAGTTGTTGTAGTCAAAGGACGTCATAGTAGAAGACATGGCACGGGGAATATTGAAAATAGTAGTTACTTGTTACATTTTATAATAGCCAGTGTTTAGAGTTTTACAATATTAAGATCGAATTAAAACGTACACAGAAGTCTTATCTTTTTTTAGTAGGATCCACGTAGTTGAACGTATAATATTTGTCTTTAAGCAATGTATTAAATTTCACATTTTCAGCTGATTTTTTAATCACGACATTGTTGATGGGAGGGCGGGCGGCATCTCGGGCCCCACCCTTAAATACGCCCCTGGCTATCGCATTATTTTGTACGTATAAAATATAATAATAAAGATAGAGTAACGTAACAATAATAACAATATATGATCGATGCTATTCCATAACGACGAAATATTCTATTAGGACTCACGGTAATGACGTTGCTGGGACAGTACAGAAGTAGGTGGTAATAATATAATCTATTTCTCATTTCAATCGCATACCTGTATTGTGTAGATGAATAAATTCACTTGCACTGAAGTAATTTTCAGGGTTTTTAAATCTTCGTACGGGGTCAGTGTTGGAGGCCCAATACGCTATTATGCCACACGCTATAATATACAGTGCATAGTGAACGTGATGTTTGACCGTTGCGGCTCTTTTGAGTTTTGTACGAGCCGCAGCAAAGACTATATAATATATATATATAAATAGCATCACGTGCAATAAAGTTATTATGTCCGTATAGGTCGTAAATTAAGGCCATAGTCGGATAACGAGTGTAGGTATAGGTTACGGTTTTGTTTATTAATATATTATTCTTACTTGGTCATAAGCGGACTAGTCATATTCTAGTCAAACAATTTATCCGTCGTAAGAAATAGAAGTGAACCATATAAAAAAGGAACAGATTTAATGCGTAATAATAATAGGTACAAATCTCGTGGGCTGGACTTCAAACGCGAAGGTATGAATTGAAAGATATTCAAACCTCCTCAAAAATATGAATCCCAGTCCATCGAGACGACTTAATGTGCATACAAATTTTAATATTTTCAATTAGAAATAAGAATGTTTTATTAAAAACAATGTACCTATATCAACCAAGTATTTGTATTATAATAATATGTAAAAATGTGGTGCTACCGGCCACCATTCATATAATAAGTGATGACAATAATAAAAATAATAAATTATAACCATTCATTACACACATTTATCATATCATATTATACGTTTTGTATACCTACCTAAAACACATTATGTGCTCGCCACGCGGTGGTCATCTCCAATATATGCGTGTCGAAAGACAATAGCGTTCGCACATGTCTATTGAACAATAATAATTACAATTATTATAATATTAATTATTATCAATAACAACATAATAATATTATATTATAACATTCCTATAATTGAATAATATATAATATGTCATCATCATGTGCAGATGAGTAACGCGACTGCGAGCTTTCTAAATACGCCTCGTACAAAGGAATGCGTGCGATATAATAATAATAAAATAATATAATAATAATATGTGAGTAATATCGTATACACATTTATATGAGTGTACAATATAATGTTATTATAATATCGTACGCGTTTCATATCGATGGACGCGCGTGACTTACGACTGTGCAAGACTTAAGTGATGCTCATTCGTGTATACCTATTTATACGCGTCATTAGATAAAATAAAAAAAAAATGTAATAATATTATATGATTGTTATATTATACCTACCGCGGCGAGTGCAACTAAAAAAAAACGTCTTGTGATGCTAATATTTTAGAGGACGTGTGATATTGCGTACTACCGTCTCCGTTTGTATTTATTCATCTAACCGCGACAGTCGTATTTAATACGAGTACCTATAATAATAATAATATTATTATTATCAAACTACCACGTCTACGCAAATTCGCGAGATGGTGATTATTGTGCGGCGTTTAGGTTATTGTCCTCGTGTGTATAAAATTTAAACGTTGCCAAATTTTAATAGGAGAATATCATGACTATCGAGAGATAATGTCGTATCTCATGATTTTCGTAGAATAATATGTTAATATTGTCTAACATCTGTGTACCGCAGTTTATTGGCTTCGACTATTTACGTTTCCTCATACCACCCAACTATTATATTATTATTATCATGCTATTATACATAGTTATACGCTATAACTTGTTCGCCGGACAGTCTGTATAATTATATTACGAAGAGGATATTCCTAAAAGATGGTTCTTCTCTTAAAATATACCTACGGGTAATAGCTATGGCGCGCAGACTTCTAATATTTAAATGACATCACAATTGTTGAGATTTTTACGCAGTGGAATATTTTGCTATATTTCCGGTTGGATGGACTGCATGAGACAATATTTTGTATAATATCTGCCATGCTGCAACTGTTGAGTGCAACGATGGTCTCGTTTTTGGGACACATTATACGCACTTGCAGTTGCAGTCATCTTTGTCTTTATCCACCGATTCCACTGAAATCACCTTAGGTACTCTGAAAATATTTGCTTGCATACCGTAGTTGTAGGCTTATGATGTTAATAATTTATATTTGATACGTCCCAAACTATGAGATTTGTAGGTGCAGAAATGTACCCATAGGTAGGCTGTACCTAGACAACAGTTAAATATAGGAGGTGAGGTTATTCGGCACAAAACACACAATAACAGTGTATTCGATCTCAGATTTGCCCCATTTCATAATAATATACAATTTGTACGAAGAATAAAGTATAATTAATTATTTATTTGTTATTTTCAGTTATCCAAAGACAGTGGAAATTGATTGGGATAAAACAAAAATATGTCTTGTAATGCGTGTGTATAATATATATATGTATAATATATTATGCAATATTATAATATGTACAAATATATTATTATAGTTTATGATTTATATAGTATAATAGTAGTTAATCGATATAATAATATAAACAAATATGAATACGAACAAAGTGCAAAAAATCTAGAAAAATTTTTTTGTGATTTTTGTTTTTTTGGTATTGGGTTAACGAAAAACTAAGTACGAACAAAATATAATATATATAACAAACAAACAAAATATAACAAGCGCGTAGTAATAATATATAATATACATTACATAATATATCTTATATGTATATTGTATATAATAATAGTGTACGAACAATTTATTAGTATAATATGATATAAGTATAAATTACGGGGTATTTACAAAATTAGATACACATGTACATTGTACAATATTATTATACTATAATGTAATCTAAAAATATATTATACAAGTTTTATGTGCATTTAACGGTGGCCGCCGGTCGGGGCCAACGCGTTTGAACAAAAAAATTAAATTAATTTTTTTGTAATAAGGATAATAATATATAAAAATGTATAATATCAATTGATCTAGTTCCTTACGACTAATTTGGGTTTACCGAACATTAATATAATAATAATATGGTCATACACAACTTACTGGAGTATAATAAATATAATAACTTGTAACTACATACATAATAATAATAATAATAATAATAATGGATATTATTATGATTATTGTACTTATAACAATCTTTTAAAATGGACGAACACTATAATACCTACTCCTATAATAATATTAACGCGAAAAACGAAACATATTATATTATACAGATCTCCCATGACTATTATTATTATGCAACTCTACAGACACTAATATCATTATTATTACCATTATTATTCTATAAATTACGTCTATTTAGATTATTAATTTATATTTTATTATTTATGGATAATGATAATAATATAGTAGTCATATATAAAATATAATATACAGTGAGAAAGACTAGGACGCACGCGCCAATTAGATGTTTTGACCGGCAGTTTCGGATCACCATCATCACCACCTCATCATCCCTCATCGCGTTATAATATACCCTTTAGCGGCCGAAATGCTATTTTAAATTGTTTGATTTTCGTCACAGACCTACTAAACAGTAAACACTACACGTTGGGACGTGGATAACATTAAATTTTCACACGTCGATATCGTATACCTACTACGATATGTAAAAGAAAATTGGAAATGAGATCTCGATATCATTGTCAACCGAGCCACGGGTGATGGTGGCAGGTGATAAGAGGTGGCATCGGAAGATTCGACGGATATACTTTTTCGGGATGCGCAGCGTTCTTAGATTAAGGTTGATTTAAATTTTTTCAGAAAAGTAAGAAAACTTACGAGGAACGTTATTATTTTTTTTTTTAACGATATAATATTATAATAATTACAAGATTATTACGGGCTATAGACAGCCGTATCGTGTGTTTCAGTGTTAAGCAGCTGCAGCAGACTCGGCTGCTACACGGATTTTTCGAACGATGACGACTCATAATAGATAATAATATTAGGTATTATAATATATTTAATACTTTAATAGGTATTAAAATACACTCGCAATAACCGACGAGCAGCTCATTCGTCGTACTTGACCGGCTGCTGCTGTTGCTGCTGCTGCTGCAACAGGTGATCGGTGGGCGAACCACACGCGGCCGCCACCGCCATAGCTGGTTGAGGTTTCTTCTTGAGTATTCCCATGTTCTGGGCCGTCTCCAAGAATATCTTGTGCTCACTGAGGGCGGCCAGCGTCTCCCGGTCCTTCTTCTGCTCCTCATAGTCGCGCTTCATCTTTGCCCGGCGGTTCTGGAACCACGTGATGACCTGCGCGTTCGTCAGGCCCAGGCTGGACGCGATCTCGTCCCTGTCGGCGGGCGACAGGTACTTCTGGTACAGGAATCGCTTCTCCAGCTCGAATATCTGGTGGTTGGTGAACGCGGTGCGAGACTTGCGCTTCTTCTTGGGCTGCGACCTCGAGTTGAACAGATTCAGATGACTGGAACTGGTGTCTGTGAACAGAAAAGAAAACATTGATTTAATTAAACGAGCCATAAAGTGATGGTAGAGTGGTCTTAGAGTTACTAGCGCACATTTCTCGATAAAAACGAAATACGTCCAGGAAAACCCACAAACTATATATTCGTGACTTTTACATGTTGAGACACACTATATTAGTTGGATAAGTATTTATCAGGACGTCACCATTGATGATCAAAGGTGATAGTTTAATTATTCGACCGTTAAGATCGAAATAATATATGAATGCCATGATGGCATATGCACGCAAGCATCAAATAACAGCAGTGGTTTCAAACGAAATGCGGGCACTTGCCACTGTTGGTAGTTTTTTAATAATATTGTCACGTGGACGACATGAGTATTTACTATTAAAAAAACGATATAGTGCAGATGGTGGCCTGAAAGTTACTAGCACAGCTATAACTTGAAACCGTTTATAGATCGTCGGAGATACTTCTGGACTATTATTCTGACCGGTGGTATACAATAAACAAACTATATAAAACCAACTCGGCGCACTATAAACCATGTATAATACCATAGATGCTAACACCGCCTCCAATCTCCGTGAGAAATGCGACGAGTGGTTTTGCCCATATTATCTTATTGACACGCTCTCGGCTGGGGTTTTCGTCCGCAATTCGGTTATAGCGCGGATGAACACGAGCTCCGGATTATCGATGATCCGCTGCCGCGACGAAACGGAATTCGAAGGTTCGGTAATTATTATTAACCGCCGCAGTAACGTTACGCGCACAGTAGCATTATATATTATAGTAAATATATATGTCTAATAGTTCATTATTTAATATATAGTTGCAGTGCGATGTATCGGACGGTTGCGATTCGCCGATACGACACGGCGTTCCGTATATTTATGTACATAATTAGGTTAGGTACTTATAGATATAAATATATTATGTGCCCATCGGAGTATATAACTGCAGATATACGTATAAATAATATATATACCGATAGTGTGTATATGACGTTTATTGTATTATATATTTTTATATGACGTGTCGTCGTCGCCGTTTACGTACAAACCGGGTGTGCACAATCGATTGACCTGCGGCTGGCCGTGCTTGATTCGGTCCGAAACGCTCGCGATTCCGGGCGCAAACGTTTTCGATATAATCGCGCCGCTGACACGCCTGATAATAATAATATTATAACGATAGTGACGGACTGAAGCGGCAGACGTATTTAAAACGGCGGCACGAATATAAGCATAAATCATGTATCGTATATATTATACAAGACGACGGACCGTCTTATGCGGTGGTCTAATAATAACGCGTGCGATATTACGCTGTCGATGGAGAAAAACGTAAATCAAAAAAAAATATGGGACAGCGGCTCGAGAACGTGGCGAAAAATATTTGCAAAAAAATTGTACACCCACATAATATCATATGTATATATATAGGTACGAACATAATATAACGATAGGCAGCAGCACAGAAAATAAGACTTATCGCCGCGGCCGTAAAAAAGCGGAGAAGGGTGAAACGCGCTCACGAGAAAACCCGTTAAAATGTCAACTCCGATAAAACAGCACCGCGACTAATCCGCAGTTCGGACAAATAAATCACATTTCGTCCTTGCCAGCAGAGCTGCATAATATGACACGCACGCCGTTTTAACGTTTTACTGCAGGCGGTCGCTATTATTAATTATTATTGTTATTATTGTATTGCAACTATTATAATAATATAATACGTCATAATATTATACATATCGCACGACGGTTATAATACTAATGTCGTCGGTTTTCGCAAATTCGCGCGACTCGTACGGAACTCGATATAATAATATTTATATTACATACGGCGCATAGGTGCACTAAATTAATATTGCAATACACCTCCTCCTAAGCTTCCCCGAGATAGACCCTGTACGTTTTGCGGCAAGAATCGTGTTAAATAGTATATTATTAATATATTATGTACATCATGCAACAACAGCAGAAACGTATAGGTCCATAACTGTTATTATATATTACTGCGCTGAGTATAGGGTGATAATTATTGTTCTTATTGGTCGTTTCCCAAAAATAGCAAAAAGACGATATGCTGCTGCACGGTTTCGTGGATGACAAGTTTATTATGCAATGATTTTTAAATATATCATTTAATAATAAAATAATATATTATTACACTTGTATTATAAAAACGTTTTTTCTGAAACTTCCGTGAGAAACCTGGATCCGTTTCAGCCCCTCCCCCCTCCCCACAACAAATACGAGTCTACAGGTCAGACCACTTAACCACGATTTTGACGTTTTTTGTACCAAGTTTTCAAGATGTGCGCGTGCCGTTAATAAAAATACACAATAAAAAATTAAAAAACGGTAAAAGTAGGAATAGGAAAAATAATAATAATAAAAAAAAACGGCGACCGGCCCATGGCTGTTTTATTGCCCGGGAAGAAGCGACCTACCGACCGACCAAATTCCACAGCTAATTTGTAATCTGTGAATTTATACGAACGGGCGTATAGTAGGAATTCATAATTTAACTAACGAGCAAACGACAAGCGAAACGTCTCTCTCTCTCTCTCTCTCTCTCTCTGATTTAATAGCCAAAGATTTTCGAATATAATATGTGAAGGCCGACGGCACGGTGCGTAGTTTATGTTCGAGAAAAAAAAATGCACTTTCACGTGTGTACAACGTATAACGTATATTATGTATAATATTTGTAGGTAGTATAAATTATTGTAAAATGTGCATTTGATAAGCTAGTAAAAAAAAAAATACGTTTCCCCCCACACACACACCACTACTCGCACACCATTAATTGGACGTCTCTCACGTCTCTCGGCGGCGGCGGCATTAGTAGTGGGTGGCAAAAGATTTGTATTTTATTTTTCCTTATTCCTTTGTGTCCGCGTTTTTACACGATTATTACTACTAAACAACACTATACAACACAACAACTACCCCGCGTAATGCCGACCAATGCCACGGTCCGGTAATCACTCTATGGAGGCGGCGGTCACTTCACACTTATTTTGATCCGTGGAATTTTTCGGTCCTCCTTGGCGACGTGTATAATGTTAAGCGCATCATTGTGATGTGTACCCTGAGAATATTTCGGTTTTCGGACGGTTTAACGATTTACTTTTTTTTTTTGTACTTGACATCAGGCAGATACCGATCGTATAATTACTGTTATATTTATAAATGTATATAATTCGGACGCGGAAAGCGGCTATCTATCTCGTACACGACCAATTAATGCGCTTTGGAAAATGGAAAACAACAGAGGCCCTTTCAAGTAGCCCGGTGACTAATGACGGTTTCTCTCTCGAGAGCGTAGGCAGCAGAAATGGTGCGGTCCAAAATTCCGGATTATTATCGTCGTCGTCGCCGTACGTCGGCGATTTTTCTCCGCTTAACAGAGCGGTCCATTATTAATATTGTTATTATTATTATTAGCATATTATAAGTATGTCTGTTTGATTTTTTTTTCAGTCGAATATACCGTAAATCTGTCGAGATAAACGGTATGATTATTTTCATAATTATTGTTTCAACAATTAAACAACTAACCGCGAGTTTGACGTGTCACGTGTTAATATATTGCTCTAAAGATGCAGACATTATTGTAACGCATTAAGCATTTTAAACAAACATTTAGACATAACGAAGAGCACTATTCAACCCGTTGTAACTGTCTTGCATTCCACATTATATGATATAGGTACCTTATAATGTATCACGAATAATGAATAGAAAATCGGTATGGTTATAATAATAATTAAGTAGGTACTTACATAATACGCAATAATAAAAACTTGTCGAAAATTATGAGCGATAACTCGGTACGCGATATAAAATAATATATTATATGTTATGACTATAATGTTAGGCGTGCCATATTATATTATTATGGCAGAATGGACGTTTTGAGTTAATATCGATACAAATAACATTATATTATAATAATTTTATCTCGCAACTGTCTGTGCCAACGACGATAGCGCGTAAGTATTGAAACATCCTAATAATATAAGTAATAATAATATTATTATCGTCGCGTATAATATTATAATATTATGTACGAGCGGGGCCGGTCGTGGTGGCGACGGTTGCCGAGCCCGGCCGAGCAGCGCGTTACGGCGCTACGGTAAGTTACGCGGCGTGCCTCGGCGGTGGGTAATAGCCGCGGGGCGCGCCGTCTCATGTCGGCGGCCACATCAAAGGTCCCGCGCATGGCAGGTGTGACTAAACAGCAGAGGCGGCTCCTCTGATCGTATCGCTTCTTATTACCGCCGCCGCCGCCGACACCGGGGCCCCGACATTCCGGTGCGCGGGTTCTCAAAATTGTGTGTGTGCGCGGGCGCGCGCGCGCGAACCCGTCAGGTACGTACACGACGGAAAAAGCGATACTACAGAGATATACATATTATATAGAGGCGAGCACAACAGTCGTAAGCCAGTACTACCTATTATTATAATACTTCTGGACAGCGGTCAAGTCCGTTATAATATATATTAAAATGAACTCACAGGTATAGGCTGTACAGGGCAACCGACGGACATCACTGCATTATTTTCTTTACACCGCGTCCGTATAATAGCACACTATACATATATATATGCCTAAATAATTTTAACTGTAGCGGCTATAAAACCGACGAGTCTTTGAACAATTTTTGTTGCTGCGCGGGAATGGCAAACCTCCATATTATCATTGTTATTAAGTATATTATTGTGCACACCGATAATCACAGAATTCGATAACGAGTACAATATCTTGTAATAATATTACTTACGATATGTCGGCTGTGGCAGATTTAAAATGTGCCTACCTAGTTATGTTTTAATTTTAAAGACATGCGGAGGTAGGTACCTACATATTATACTGTTCAACTGATGACTAGGACACTTAGGTACTGTAATATTAGTAATTACTAAATAATACGAAAGCCTAGATTTAAAACCAAAAGAATAATAATTGACGGGAGATCGTATATAATAATGTTTTAATATTTCAATATTTATAATAATTGGCCAATTTAGTTTA